GAGTACGCTGCTCTCCTCCAATCAGGAGTAAGTCCTACAGTTTATTGGTTGAACTGGAGGCAGCTGTGTAGAAGCTGCTTCTCCCTTCTCAGCGCCATATTGTGGGAGAGCAGATGCATAGAATAAGTCTTAATTCCAGTAACTTAGTCTAGTCCGGGTTGCTCCCCACGAGAGTTTGAAACCCATGTACACAAGGAGAAAGATGCATGGATTTCAGAAATATTCCACCAGAATAAACGTGTGATTTCATTCTCCACGAATCTCTGAAGCACCTTTGTATGTAGGAGGCCCTGGACACTACACACAAACCTGCTGGAAGTAATGAAGGCGTGCAGTGAGCCTGGCTCATACAAGATCAGCATCTGCAACCCAGCCCCATTGCTACGTATCATCAACAAACTGAGAAGGAGTAACTAAGAAACCAGGTCTACTTACAATAGAATTAAATACTTTGTACTCAGCTTAACCAGGGAAGTGAGATTTTTACACTGAAAACTAAAACGTTAATGAAAGAAATTGAAGACACAAATGGAAAGATTTTAGGCTCATGAAATGAAAATTTATATTAAAATATCCATTCTACCCAAATGATTTATCAAAACTACCCAACATTTTTGTCTGACAGAGAAAAAAAAAGTTCTAAAATTCTAATACAGCCATGAAAGACCACGAATAGCTCAAGGATCCTTGGGAAAGCAGAAGAAAGAAACCCGAGGCCAGTCACAGCCCTTTTTTGGGGGTGGGGGGTGGGGGTGGGGTGGGGCTTAGTTCCCCCGCTGATGGTCCTGTCCAGTCCTCTGGCTCAGAAATTTATCGCTGTGGCAACGCCTCGGGTGCCTGGAGCTTCTCCCGGCTGCTGCCGGTGGGCTGCCCCGTACACTGACATCCCAAGTTCACCAGTTCTCCCCAAGCCTCTTGAGGGTAGGGAGTGTCAAGGACAAAGGCATTCAGTGGCACTTGTTAAAGTCTGCTCAGGGAGACTGCTTAAGGCCGGCTGGATAGCTATAGGAGCCTGCAGTGGGGAAGAGAGGTTGGGCTCATCTCTGGCCAAGTGGAGGTTTCCAGCCAGGGGAGCAACAGCTTGGTGGTTAGAGAAGGAAAGAGTAGGGGTAAAGGAGCTTCCGGCTAACTAACCCAACAGGATTCTTGCTGAGGACAGGGGGTGGGGATCAGACGTCAGGGAGTGGGGGGAGAGTGGAGGCTGAGGAACCCCAGCAGATACTGGGGGTGACCAGGGGTTGAGGATGGGCAGGTTCCGGCTACGCTGATCCTGCGGTAGAGGTGCGTGCGTGCACAGGTGGGCTTAGAGTCTCCGCAGCCTCGTTAGACGTGGGCCAGAGAATCTCAGGACCCAACCAGGCACCCAGAACCTTCGACAGCGTGGAGCTTTGTCGAGAAATGTCCCTCTCGGCCGGATGCGCTCCAGCCACTACACAGGGTGGCCGACACGGGCTTGTCGCGTGGCTGTTGTTGGCTTGTATTGGAGCCCCAGGGAGATGAAGTCCCCGTTTTTGCAAATGTCCCCCTCTTGCGTGGGCATGACAGCGTGACATCACCGAGGGCTCCCAGGCAGCGGTGCCCCCTCCGGCGTCCCGTGACACGCTTCCTTGGGCGCTTCATCCGCTTCGGGGTGGTTCTCTCCTTCCCCTTGCCAAGCTGAGCTCGGACCCAGAGAGTGTCTTGCCCCGACCCGAAACGAGCCCCGAGCGCGGGGGTCCCCGCCACACTGGCTTTTCCTGGGAAAGGCGTTTTTACGACGGCTGTTCCCCAAACGGCCCGCCAGATGGCGCTCGGAGACCGGGGAGGGCCGCGGAGCCAGGTGCGCCTGGGCCGAGCGCAGGTGCGGGGCGGCGAGCTCACGCGTGCCTTCCCCGAGGCGCATCACGTTCCAAACCCAGGGGCGCGCCCCCCTCTTCCCTGCCTATTTCCTCGGGCGGGAGGATTCCCGTCGCTGCGGGGCCGCGCCGGGAGGCAGAATTCCGGGCCCCAGCACGCGCTCCGACACGCACCGCCCCGGGGAGGCCTCTCCGGGTTCCGGCTCCCCCACTGCAAGCGCCTGCGCCCCAGGAGCTGCTCCGCTCGGGACCCCTGCGCCCCAGGGGAGTTCGGAATGGTCTGGAACTCTTGCCACGGCGGAAGGGCCACGAGGAGAAGAGACTGGGGCCGAAGCCTTGTCCATTGGCCTCGGGCGGGGCGCGGGTGGCGAGCCACAACCTCTCCCCGTCCACGTCTCCCTCTGCGGTCACGGGAGGGGACAAGGGCCACCCCACGGGAAGGGCCGCTTGAGAGCCTGTTGGATCTGGGGACCCGGTGGCGGCGGGAACAGCCGCTGGGCGGTGCCGCGCGAGTCGCTTGTTCTGCGCCCCTCCGCGGGGTAGGGGTGCACCTGCCACCCCCAGCTGCCCCACTCGCACACTGAGCGAAAAGTACGTGCAACGCGCTGCCCTGGCCTAACAAGGGTCTTTCTGCGTGGGGAGGCCAGGTCTTTGACGCCCCCGCACCGCAGCGTAGCGCTGCCCAGGGTAACTCGGGGCGCCGGGACCGCGCGCCCCTGCGGGGGCCTGGGGCCGCCGCCCGCCCCGCACTGGGGGCCGCACTGTGCCGTTTTGCAGGACATGGTCGGGCAGCGGGGATGTGGGGCCAGGATATCCGCACCCGCCCCCAACCACCGCGACCGGATCTCCCACAGCCCGCCTCCCGCGGGGGCTTAGCGGGCGTTGTGCCCCGACTTGACCGCCAGAGGGCGCCAGGACTCCACGCAGCGCAGAACGGCGAGTGCTGGCTGGTTTCTCCTCCTCTGGTTCCCAGGACACCGGCCCAGAGAGAGGCTGGGCCAATGCAGGGCGCAGCCCCGGCCCAGCACCTTCGTTTCAAGAGAGGCGGAAACGGATTTGGCCTGCGTCTCTTTCCTCAGGCGATGCCTCTGGGCTGCATGGTCCTGGGAGAGGCAGAGGTCGCTGGTGGGGCCAGCTGCTGGCCGCGGGGCGTCAGAGTTCCAGAAACAGCCTCCTGCTCCGTCAGCTTCTCCTGACCGTGTGGGGAACACGAGGGTGCCTTCAAGATAGAGATGGAGCCTGATTATTTTTAGGGGAGACCCCCGCCACAGTGCGTGGACTCAAATGCTCATGAAAATGGGGGTGGCAGACTCTGCAGCACAGTCCTGGGCGCCTTTGGGATTGCGGGGGGGGGGGACCAGAGCGAGGCTTACCTTACCCGCAGCAGAAAGAGTGTGCCTTGCTCTGCAGACCACAGAACAGAAGCCGGACAGCACGGGTAGAAGGGAGAGGCTTCAGCGGGCGGTTGGGGTCCCTGTTCTGGCCACGGTGCGCATGCCCCTGCCCGCGGTGATCAAGCCCCTGTAGCCGCTTCTCTGAGGAGGGCCCCGCGCCAGGCAGGTGGTGCCCATCCAGAGATAGGCAGAGTTCTGGACGGAGCTTCAGCTGGGATCCTAATGACCTGGGCCAGCAGGGTGGACAGACACAGGGACCTGGGGTCTTCCAGACTTCGCGTTTGCTTTGCTGCCTTTGGGCAGCGCAGAGGCCCCAAAGCAAATCCCGGAGCCTTCCCCGGCTACATAGGAAGGGAATTCCCCCACAGGGGTGCGTGTTGGCATCCAGGGAACGGCTGTCAGCTCCCTCTGGAAGCAAACACATAGGCCATCATCCGGGTCATGGACTGCATCCAAGCGCATTCTAGGCACAGGTCAATTCTTTGGTGTCTGGCATAACACTCTGAATTTATCTGCAGCCCGTAGATTTCTCAGCCCTCTTATTGAGGCCAGTTTTCCCACCGTGAGCGCAGCTTCCTCCACCCTGAAGCCCCAAGGTGGCCAGGAAAGTGTAGTCTTCCATGTAGTCGCTGTCCAGGACCCAGCACTGTTTATGTAGTAACATGTGAATGTGAAGTTGGTCTTTTCCGTTCCGTGCTGATTAGCCCTACAGTTTGCCGTTATACTCCCCAGGGGGAAATGGCTGCCCACGGGGTCCTCCTGCATTTGTTGCCCTCCTGAGGTCTCCCGTGGCTCTCAGTAAGGGGTGGGACTGAACAGGTGATCCTTTGAGTTCCAACTGAAAGCCAGCTGTGATGGTAGATGGCCCATTAGATTCTTACTCCCTGGCCTCAGCTCTCAGATCTAAAAGCCAAGCTTAGTTTCAGTTGAGAATCCTAGAAAGAGGGTTGGCCAACTGCTTCTGTAAAAAGCCACAAGTAGGGGGACTGGCGTTGTGGCGTAGCATGTAAAGCCACCGCCTGCAGCGCCTGCATCCCATATTGGAGCTGGTTCACATCCCGGATGCTCCACTTCCGATCCTGCTCCCTGCTGTGGCCTGGGAAAAGTAGCAGAGGATGCCCCAAGTGCTTGTGCCCCTGTACCCTCTTTGGAGACCTGGATGAAGCTCCTGGCTTTGACCCGGCCCATCTGCGGAGTGAACCAGCAGATGGAAGATCTCTCAGCCCTGCCTCCCCCGCCTCCCGGCACAGGGCTTGGGAGATGTCAGGACTTGGGAAATATTTTACGATTTGTTTGTAGAAAGTCAGGACAACCCCTTCCCTTGAGTGGATCATTTGTGTGTGGAGATGCATCAGGCAACTTCTCTGCCCCCTCAGAGAACCCTGGACACCCATGAAGAGTTAGCTCCTGTACCGCCCACAGCAGGGCAAGGCGGGGCGGGGGGAGGGGCTGCAAGCTTGGCCGTCTTCTGTCTTCTCGCCAGCTCTCCCCATCAGCCAGCATTCTTTGCATGTCTGCCCAGCATTTCCCATGTGGGCGTGATGCTCACAGCAGAGGGATTCAAACCAGGAGTGGCACTGTTAGCTCTGCCAAGAGCTGACTCACGTGCCTGCACGCACCAGTCAAAATTCCCACAGCCCGGCCAAACCCACCCATTGAGAGATCTGCAGCTGGCCCTCTCAATGAGATTCCTTCTTTCACATTTGCAGCGCCAGAAGCCCCGACGGCAGCATGGGAGAGGAATTCTGCACGTAACAAACCATCGCAGGAAGTCTCTGTAATTTCTTTAATGAGTCAAACAACAGAGCACAAAGATGACAGGTTCAAGTACATCCCGATACACATTTTGGACAGGAATAGATATGCATTCAGTCCTGAGGGGGGCTGGCGGCAACCACTAGGTATACACATTGCGCAAACTCTTGGCCTCATCAAGCCTAAAGATGGGAGAGGGGTGCTCTGGGCGGCAGTGGGCTGTGTTGTCTGGATGCCCTGACTTCAGTTTCTCTTTGCCATGGTACCATGTTGGAAGAAGAGCTGTGAAGATAAACGGTGGTGGGCCGATCTGTAATACAGGGACCAGGAGGGCTGGGGTCCGGAGCCGCGAGGGACTCCACCACCCAACCTGTCCAGGAGGGGGCGCTGTGTGAAGCTCCGCCTCCAGGTGCCCTGGTTGCCAGAACCCTGCCGAGGGTATGCGGGGGGCTTTGTCGATGCCTGATTTCTCTTTCGGACTGATGAGGCCGCCTCACCAATTCCTCGGGCCCCTCAACGCAGAGGACTTAGTGTGCTCCACGTTCCTGCTTTACCTTTGACCTACTTAGACTTGCAAAGACAAAAGGAAACATCACACTCCACGAGGGATTGTAAACACCAGTGTTGAACTTGACAACCATGGAGCAAGAACAAAGAAAAGTACTGATCCTGCCTGGAGGGCCTGGCCCCTCGGAAAGCAGCGAGATTCTGCTCCTGGGGGTTGCCGGGGTGAGCACAGCCTCCCTCGGAAAGCCGCCTGCGGCCAGACCCTCAGCACAGGAGTGTCGCCGGGCTGGCGACAGGTGTCCCCACAGGCCTGGTGTCGGGACCCACGGGAGGACTGGGTCTGTTCACTACTGCTCCCGAAACTTAAGGACTCTCCCAGGCAGGCTTCCTCTGCCGAGAGGGCCCAAGGCCCAAGGCCAGCCAGCTTAGAACCCTCAGCTCAAAGCTGGGAGTAACCCAGTGCCCGGGCCCCCGACACCGGCTGAGGGTGCAGACCCTCTGGGTCAAGCTTCCAGCAGAGCCAGCTGACCCTGGGCACCGGCTGCCCTAGGCTGAAAACCCACCATCGCCGTCTCTCCAGAAAGACAACTCGGCGTGGCCTGAGGACCGGGGCATCCCTGAGCACACAGCAACTGGTCCACAGAGACGAGGCAGAGAACAGGCGTCCCACGCCGGGCTTGGGGAGACTGAAGCAGACAGGACCAGCGGCCATCCACACGGCCAAGTGCACGGCCACGGACCTCCTGCGCGCAGAGCAGAGACAGCGTGCTCGGTGGCTTCCCCAGGGCCCCTGGCTCTGGGCCTACCGGTGAGGCTGTGCCAGTTAAGAGGTGAGGCTGGGGGCCACAGCCCCCTCCCCCCATCACAGGCAGTGGAGGAAGCGCGCCGTACAGTAAGCACACACAGCGCTGAGGCTTCGACATTGAGTTTGTCTACCTACTTTGGTTAGCTACGTAAGTCAGTCTGAATTCACAGTATGAGCAGCACACGGAAATATAATAGTGGGAGCTCCTGCCCAAACAAAGAAGCCAAAGAGGGGGAAAAAAAAGAAAGAACGAAAGAAAGAAAAAGCAAAAGGCCTCAACAGGAATTCTTAGTTATTATATACTAACCAGTCTGTGCGTGGCACATTTTATTTCTATAAAACTATTACAAAATATTCAAAAATACATTTTAGTAAATTTACAGCAGTTATTTCTCAGTTTATTAATGCAAAAACATCCTTTGTTTTTTTTTCTCTGTACAAACTACAGGCTCCATCCTTGTGGGCTCATCACTATGTGCGCTTTTAAAAATATTATTTTCTAATAAATTCTTTGACGTTAAAAATAACAGAGTTCTTCCAGTTTGTCCAAAAAAAAAAAAAAGTGTGTGTGTGTGTGTATGTGTGTGTGTGTGTGTGTGTAACAGTCTCGGCTTCCAAGAATGTGGCCAGAATGGTGATTACAAAGCAAACATGAAACCATGAAGACAATACAGGAGACAGCTGTTACATTGGAAACTAGTTAAATTAAAATAATATATTTTCATATTTTACACTATTTCAAAAATGAAATGTAATTCAGTTAAGTACTGATCTCTCAAAAAATCTAATTTACAATTCTGTGTATAAAAATATAATTTGTGGACCCCATGAAGCATGTGTTTAGTCTACAGCTGCTGAGGAGCAGGAGCGTTGAGGATTGTGGGTACTTCCTGACAGGAGGAGGGGCGAGTAGAAAAATAGATTCTGAGCAGGTTGCTTGGCCTCACAAAATAATCTTCCCCCTCCGTGAGTACAGTCCACATGATAATAATAAATTATCCAAGAAACAAACTTAGTTAAGGCTCTTGAAGGTCCGGTTCATATTATTTAAAACATCTATTCATACCAAACAAATAAATAGCCAGGAGAGGAGGAAAAAAATATAACCAAAATAAAACAATAACCAAAAAATTCAAAAAAATATATATATATAAACTAAACACAACAACAACAAAAAAATTCCCGGGGGGCCTTTGTTTTCTTATACTCTACTTTGGACTGTCCTACTTGTAGTCTTAATTATTCAGTATTCTTAGAGTGGAGTGTCATTCCGTGCGCTCTGGCTCGCGGCCGCTTCCCACGTCCCGCCCCGCCCCGCCCTCCCGCCTCCCGCCCCTCCCGCGCCCCTGGGCTTCAGCTGGACTGGCTCGCCATGCCCAGGGGGTGCAGCGCCTCGCTGTCCAACAGCCAGGTGCCGATTTGGTAGAGCAGCTGCGAGTACCAGTGGATGCCCGCGGGGCCCGGCGCACCTGGCGCGTCGGCCGCACCTGGCGCGGCCGGGTCCCCGCCGCGGTCCGTGCGCGCGGGCGCCAGCGCGGCCAGGAGCGCGTGCGCCAGGCGGAAGGGCGCGAAGGCGCGGTGTGCCCAGCTGTGCTCCTCAATGACCGCGTAGCACGAGGCCAGCACCCGGTTGATGAGGATGGTGCCCTGCGCCGTGAGCGGCGCGTAGGCGCCCGTGGCCTCCTCGCGGAGCGTCACGCTGTGCACGGCGGCTGGCAGCAGTCGGCGGTCCCCGTCGCGCTCGGCCACCACGTACACACGCTGGCCCGGACGCACGCGGCTGGCGAAGAGCGCCCGGCGGCCCGGCGCGCCCCCCGGCGGCGGCCCTGCGCCCGGCGCCAGCTCGGGCTCGCCGGCGGCGGAGGCGTTGTGCGGCGCGACGAACAGCAGGTGCGCGGCGGTGAGCAGCAGCCGCTCGCGCGGCTCCAGCGTCTCGATCACGTAGAAGACCTTTCTGGCGCTGTCGTCGCGATCCAGGAAGGTGAGGAAGTCGCTGTAGAGCAGCCGGCCCTGGTCGTCGGCCGCCAGCACGCGGTCCCCAGGACGCAAGTCTTTCACCAGCTTCGTGCCGCCCTGCTCCAGGTGCACGGTGGCGGAGCCAGGGAAGCAGCCGCCCGATTTGGCCGCCACCGAGTTCTCTGCAGGCGAGAAGGGAAGACAAGAGGAGACGGGGTGTTGAGTGCCTGAGAAGGAGGCGCCTCTTGGGGAGGCAGGGGCGCGCGCGTGGCGCTGGTGCCCGTCGCGCCGTAGGCCAGGGATGCGCGCGGCTGCGGTGGGAGGAGACTCCAGGTGGGTTCAACGCAGCCGCCCCTCCCCCGATCCCCTGGCCGCGGTGGCAAAATCCAGACGCGGGCACATTCCTCGCCGTCTCTGCGACTGCGCCGGCGGTGACCAAGGTGGTAGCCGGCGTCTCCTACGGGACGCCAGCTCCGCGCCTTCCTGCGTCCCCATCCCCCTGCTCAGCACACACCCGGCCTCGCCGCGGATTCAGGATATTTGCTCTGCACTTGGATTTCTCAGGAAGCCTCCTAGAGCTCTTGCGGGCGCCGGGGGCGCACCCTCCTCCCCTCCCGCTCCCGGCGCAGGGCGCGGCGCCTCCTAGTGCGCTCCGCGCTGCCGCCGCCGCCGCCGCCGCCGCCGCCGGGGCTACTCGGCGAGAACCTCCCACCCCCAGCGCCCAGCCAGGGCGCCTTGGTGTTGGCCTGTTGAGGGGCGGGGGTGAAAAATAGCTGTAGTAGTTGTAGCAACTGGACAAACATGCCGAGGTGTGAAAATCCGAGGCTTGTGTGGATTTTCTAATTAAAATCCAATAAAGGGCCCGGCATTGTCATTGTGATTTCTGGAATAAATAGGGGACACTCTTGGAAGAGGAGACACTTCCATCCCCTTCTTCCTCCCTCCCAAGCCCCCCCCCCCCCCGCCGCCTCTTTCTCAGCCCACTCCCGCTGCAGCTCGCAGGCTGCCTCTCCCTATTTGCTCAGGTGCACCCCCCCTCCCCGCCCCGTGCAATTCACACACAGACTCTCCAGAAGCCCGGGCCTCACAAGCACTATTTGCACAGCCCGGCCTCTCTTCCAAGCACTCAAGATGTGTATTTGAATTTTAAATAGCCGGGCCTGTTCGGAGCGCTGGAAGCGCTGGGTTCTCAAGGCCCCTTGACTACCCGCTTTCGGCAGCCCTCTGTCGCTCCGAGGCTCGCGGTCCCAAGGACAATAATTGAAGTTGGGGCGGAGCGCAGGGGGCCGGGGAGGAGGGGCGGGGAGGGGAGGTCCCCTTCTTCTTTTGCATTCCAATCTCCGGGATCATGCTTTTTGCAAATAGAGATTGCCAAAAGAATCTTCCTGCTGGAATTACCGAAGGTTTTTAATCTTCTCATCAGTTTCTCCGGCATGAAGTGCGGGGCTGGCCGCCGGAGCCCCCCGGAATGCGACCCGGGGCGCTGCCCAGCCCGAGTCGTCGAGTCGCACGACCCCGCTTGACACGCACTGCACCGCGCCCCGGCCGTGTGCGCCGAATGCCAATGAGCGGCTCTGCGCGCCCCGGGGTTCCGCCGGGCCTGGGCGAGATACTCCGGGCGGGAGATTACCGCTGCTCATTTGTGAAGAGACCTCCAGGGACCCCCGCAGGGGGACCCCGCGGATGGGAGACGTGTGGGAGCAGGCGGCGCACGTCGCGCGCAGCCGCCAAGGCCCAGCAGGGACGAGTCCAGGGCCCTGGGGCCTCCGGCCTGCCTCCATCTCCCTCCCGCCCTGGGCTGCGGGAAGGAACCCCAGGAGGAGGCTCCCAGCACGGAGCCCCGGCGAGGCGCGAGCGCCACCTCCGCGTTCTCTTCCCCGGGACTGCAAACGCAACCCTCCCCCACCGCTGGCTCGGCGCGAAGCAGCCAGGAGTTTCCGCACCTACCAAGTGTGTCTTGCCACTTGAAAGCGATTTTCTACCAACCAAGGGGCGCGAAGCCGGGGGCGGGGAAGGGACGGAAGACAGGGTTTCTCGGGGATTCACCGCGAGCTCTTTGGCTCACCGTGCCAACTCAGGCCGAGAGGCGGAGAAACCTCCAGAAATAGTGCCCGAGTCGGAGTGGAGGCGTTTGCGCCTGCGGACAAAGCCTCGCCTCCATAGCTGTTCCTCCCTGGAACAGCATGTGGCGTTGCAGGCTCAGGGAAGCCAGCCTCCCGCGGCCCCAGGGGCCGGCCTCTGCAGCTGCACACCGGCAGACGCATCATGGTCCCTGGTCCTGCCCCCCGGGCTCAGGGCATCCCAGCTGGGCTCCTAATCAGAACGGATGCTTCTGGGCCGGCGGCCTCCAGATGTTGGAAGTGGTAACTCCTGGGTTTATGACCTCCCACCAGGCCTCTCCCCCAAGGCTTAGCGAGTGAGGGAAGTTAGTTTAGAATCCCCAGGCGCTCGCTGGGGAGGAGAGGGCACAGCAGGCCTAGTGCCTAGGCCAGCCGGCGTCTTCCGCGCTGGGGGTGGGGATTGGTTCTTAAGCCCCAAATGAGGAAAGATCTAGCCCAGACCTGGCTCAACCTGCAGACGCAGCCTCTGACCATCGAAGTCTCAGTCCCGCCTTCCACAGTCAACTTTCTTCCCCCACCTCGGTGGGGGCTCCGGAAATGGCAGAGTGTGTGGGGGAGGGGAGAGGGGACTGCTCAGGAAGCCACAGCCGCCACCACCACCCCCAATCTGGGCTTGGGGACCGGGGACCTCTGCAGCCTCCAGGGTGGGGGCACTCCTTGGCCAAGCTGGTGGGATGCCCCCTCCCTCTGTACGCTCCCACTCCTCCCATTTTTCTTTCCCCCTTGAATCAAGGCATGGGGCGCACAGGGCCATCCTGTGGGGCAGGTGCCAGTGCGGTGTGGGTACGGGGCACGGAGAGCGACTGCGTCTGTGCAAGGCTGGCTTACCTGCTTTCACGGAGCAGTGGATGTGGGCTTTGGACTCATAGTAGACCCAGTCGAAGCCGGCTTCCACAGCCAGGCGGGCCAGCATGCCGTACTTGCTACGGTCACGGTCAGACGTGGTGATGTCCACAGCGCGACCCTCGTAGTGCAGCGACTCCTCCGAATGGTGGCCGTCCTCGTCCCAGCCCTCGGTCACCCGCAGCTTCACTCCCGGCCACTGGTTCATCACTGAGATGGCCAGAGCGTTCAACTTGTCCTTACACCTCTGCAGAGAGAAAGGCGGGGGGGACCCTGAGCAGCAGACACATCAGTCTAGGTGGCCCCACAGCCGGCCAGCCCTGCTCAGTGTCAGCGGGCAATGACTGTCACGGAGAGTGGGCAGTGGCAGGAGAAGGTGGCGGCTTGTGCTCGTGGGGGGAGAGCTGAGGACCTGTCTCCAAATGCAGGTGCAGTGGGCACTCCCACCACAGCCTAAGCAGTAACTGAACTGCCTTTAAAACAAACAGGCTATGCATTTGACATCAGTTGTCCAAGGGCACCACCTCCACTTCCCAGCCCCCTCTTCTGTGACCCCTTTTTTCCCACACCTGTGAGCGCCTCCTCACCCTTCTCCCGAGGAGGCTGGAGAGAGGCCCAGGGTGCAGCTTTGCATAAAGAATAAACCCTACAGTGTGCACTTCAAGACTCCGAAAGCCCTGTGTTATCTCGGGAACTTCCCTCCTGGCCTGCGCCTATCTGAGGTGAGGGAGGGCGGAGGGGAGCCGACGGTGGCGCTTGGGGGTGGGCCGCAGCCCAAGTGGAAGGCTCCAGGTGAGTGCCCACTCCCAACGCGGGCAGGCCCTGCACGACAAACATTCTTTATCTGGACAGCCACATTCTTGTTCTCCATGGAACTCTTTCCTGCCCGGCTTTTCTGTGGTCTGATTGTGTTTCGTGTGTGTGTGTGTGTGTGTGTGTGTGTGTGTTTTAACCTGTTCCCTGGCTCCCCTCTGCTTCTCTTGGCCCCAGCGTAGAATGGTGTCCGGCAAGTTTGGAGGGCGGCTGGCCGGGTGGGAGGGGAGGTGGGGGATGGGGAGCCAGAGAGGCCTGGAGCCTCTGAGCTCTGGGCCTCCCCCATAGAAGGAAGTCGCCTGTAAGAGTAAGGAAACCAGGGCAAAGGGGACCTCGGGGTGGCGGCCGTTCTCCCGTAATTCTCGGGTCACCTTCAGATAAGAGTTTAATAGAAACCAGTTGAGTCAGGGGTGTGTGTGTGTGTGTGTGTGTGTGTGTGTGTGTCGGGGTACCAGCACACCTCCTGGCTGTTTAAATTGCCGCAGGTGGGAGAGGGGGCTTGAAAAGGCAGAGCTGGCCACCAAAGGATGCGCAGACCCAAGTGGAAGCGGGAGAGGCAACTTCCAGCTGACCTCTGCACAGGGTCGTGCTGATCAGCCAGGAATGGGGGTGCCGATGGAAAGACTGTCCCTTTCCTGGATCCTGATTATAGCTGGGGGGGACTGTTGTCAGGAGGGGAGGACAGAGGGCTCTTGATGGCACTTCTGCCCACCCTTGAAGGGAAATAGGCCCCACGGAGCAACACGGAGAAATCCCGAGTATCTGGTAGCAATAAAACCGAGTGCTCTGGTTGTAGACTTAAAGATTTTACTACAAATGGGGCTGGGGGCAGACAGCAACGGGGGTTGGCCCTGGCAACAGGTCCACACCAGCGGATTTCTGGACCTGCCAGCAGTTTTCTTAAGGGAAAGAAAGAATAAAGTAGGAAACGCAGAGTTGGGAGTGAGGTCATCTTGTGCCTTGAACGCGCTTTACATGAAAATCAATCATTCAACCAGGGTCAGCTTAGAGCCGGGATGTGGAGCCGGGTGCGCGCAGGCGCACACCACTCAAACGTATACACACACACACACACACACACACCCACCACCACCACCACCACCACCCTTTCCGAGCCCTCACCCCCACCCCAGCCCGGCTCCCTTCTCTTGGAGGTGGGGGGCACGCAGATGAAGCTTCTAACAGCTTCCCACCCTGCAGCCAGAGAGAAGAGGGCGGGATGGGGAGGATTCAGGGTCCCCCGCACCCTGAGCCGCGCCTCCTGGGCAGACAAGGAAAACCCCGGTAAAGATCCCCAGGTCAAGCCAGGCCGGGCGACGGGGGTTGGCGGCTCCAGCTCGGGCCGAGGGTCCCCCGGTCGGCACCCGGCACCACGCTGAGCGCAGCTTCGGCCTGCCCTCGCTGGACGCTCCCCCGCCCTGCCTGGGCGGGCTCGTCGCCGGCAAAGCCGGGAAGCCGGGCCGGTTATTAATTCATTGGGTCGTGTGCCGCGAATCAAGCCCGACTCTGTGCAGCCACCGTGAAAGCCAGTGGGGCCGCCGGGGCCGGGGCTTTGTGTCGGCGGAGGCCAAGTTGTTCCCCACGCCTGAGCTGCTGCCCACCTCCCGGTCTGCACAGAAGCGCAGAGCAGGGACTGTCACCGCCAGCGGTGCCCCCAGTGCGGGGGAGGGGGCGTCCCAACTTCCAAAACGAGCCTCGGTCTCTAAACACACCTCTTGGCAGCCCCTCCTCCCTACCTGCTGGAAACACAGACCCCTCTCGTCCAAACCGAAGACCCCACACCTGAGCGCCCTTCCCTGTCGGCCCCAAAGCGCACAGGAAACCCATCCAACGTGGCGTCCCAGGTGGTCCCCCACCCCACCCCCAGGGCAGCCTCCAGAGCCGCCCCCTCCCGCCCAGAACCCCGAGTCTCCGGCACCCTCGCCGGGCACCCGCGGCCTGCGCGGGAGAGTGTGTGTCTGTCTGCGCTTCCCCGCTCCCGAGTTAATATTAACCAGGAGTTCATGCGTTCCAGAACTGCTCTTAAAGTTCCACTGGGGACGAGCCTGCCATGGCTGAGGGACTTGGGCGGCAGTCGCCTTGGAGAGACACAGAGGCCAGGGAGGCCAGAGAGAGAGAGGCGAGGGACACGCACCTGGGCACAGGGGCCAGGTGCGGATTTAAACTGAGAGGCAGGCTCGCTGGAGAGCCTGAACCTGTTTCAGCCCCCACCTCCCCGCCTCCCACCACTCCTGCACCCCGGTCCCCGGCCCCCGCCCCCTAACTCTTAGAATCTGGAGAAGGGAGGACAGAGCGGGTCAACCCAGGGGAACCCCGCGGGCCGCCATGGCCCCACCCCGACTTGCACGTTCTAGGGGACGCTTGTGGGGTCCGTGGAAGAATCCTGGCCCGGTTGTCCCTACCCCACCCCCACTCTGGCGGGCCTTCCCCCTTGCTTTTGTGTTGGGAACGGGAATAGCCACTGCCAAAGCGGGGGAAAAAGTATTTGTTTTCGTTTCGTTCGTCTGAGGGAAGTTGACATAAGGTCAGAAGTTCAAATGCTGCCTGCGCGCGCGGCGGCGAGAGTGGCCCGGCGGCGCGGGGCGTCTGGGCCCTGGGTCCCTGAGTAGGGCGGACAGGGGTGGAGGGGACGGTCCCGGCTGGAGGATCTGGTTGGGGAGCAGAGGTCCGAGGGGACCCCCCGGAACGGGGCGCGGCCCGGGGCAGGCCGCAGGAGCCCGCGCTGCGCCGCAGCCGTCGAACCGGCCTCCCCTAGCGCGTCGCTCCTCCTTTCCCAGTCCCGCCCGCCCCCGCCGCCGCCGCCGCCGCCGCCGCCGCCGGGGTAATTATGGCAGTAGGAGCACTGCTATTAGCTCTTACGGTGCCCGCGCTCGGGCGCGTGGAGCGGCTCGAGCCCAGCCCCGTGCGCACTGAAACCCTAGCCGCGGGATCGATAGCCCCGGAGTAAGTGGAGCTGAAATGTGTCTGCCTCGGTGCGCGGCTCCGCGCGCTCGCAGCTCTGCCTCTGCGCCGCGAGAGGCCCCGGGCCCTGGGACCCCTCTCCGGCGGCCGCCTTACGCAGACCTGGGCGGACGCTGACCTGCTCTGCCTGTAAGACCTCGGGTGTTCCCCACCCCCGCCGGCGCTCTCTCTCATCGCCTCCTTCCCGCTGGTGCTCCGAGAGAACCCAGGAAGGCCCTTCTCCGCGGGCCAAGGGGTAGGGTGCCTTGGGCTAGCTGGAGAACTCTTTCCAGCCATGTGCACGCACCGGGCACCCTGTGGTCCGTGCAGAGTTAATTGTGGCTCGCGCTGCTTTCTGGCACAAGCGCGCGCGTCCACACTCGCGGTCCAGATTTAAGGTGGTCGGGAGCAAGATGAGGGAGAAGAGGAAAATGGACCTTGGCCGCCCCTTTCCTTAGCTCCCCAGCAAGCCCGGGGGTTCGGGTAGGAAAGTCCAGCAGCCTAGGGGAGGCAGCGCCTCTCTGCTTCCCACCAGCACCCTCCTGGTGCACTTGCGCCCTACCAGCGCCTTTCCGTCAGCCGCTGTGCGCACCTAGCCCTAAAGGTAGGACTTGAATATTTTAATAGGGCAATAAAAAGGATGTTGACCTATATTTGCAAGGAAACCCATTTCTAGCTTCAGTTATACGTGCACGGAGTTTCAGAAAGTCTAGAATTGGTTGGGAGACTGGCAGCCCAGAAGTCTCAAAGGAGACGGAAGAGGGAGGGAGGGATTCGTGTTTTGAATTCTCTTTTCCACTCCCCTCCTCACTAATATTTATTCACCCCTAATTCTTATGCAAGCAGGTTGAAAACTAAAGTGATGCAATGCCAATAAGTTCTAAGTCCCTCCCCTAAGGTACCCGGGCTGGAGAGAATGAAAGAGCATCCTTAAAGAAATATCAATAAATTCACACTCTGATGGGCACAATTGTGGACCATGGAATGGCAATGCAAGCTATGTGATACAGCCGGGGGCGGGTGGGGGGTGCTAAGCCGAGCCACCTCTGGATCCCCTGCCTTTTGTCAGAACGGCTCCCTGGCTTCTCCAGTGGAGGATTCTCGGGTGGGGGAGTAGAGGGTGGGGGTAGTCGTGGGAAAGCAAACCCACAGAGAAGGGAGATGGTGCAAGCAAGCGCTGAGCTCCAGTGCTCAAGGCCACGTTTGTACAGTGACCTAAAGGCCACTCTCCGGAAGAGATTCCTGCCTCTGCTCTCCATGTCCACTCCCTACTTGAAAAAGGTAGACACCCCCAAAGTAAACGTCTCCCCAAGTTACAAGCCGGGAGCGGAGGCAGGCTGGGGCAGGCCATCTCAGCCAGGCTCATCCGAATCAGGGCCACAATGGACCTTGTCTCCTGCACTCCCCCCCACCCCCACCCTAAACTTCTCCTGCGGGACCCTCACCCTCCTTTCTCCCGCGCCGAGAGGAAGAGATGCTGGGCAGGCAGGTGGGCGAGAGAGGCTGGTATTGCCTTCCTAGCTGCCCAACAGGAAAACAGTCTGGAACTGCTGGGTGATACGTCGCCCCCCTGGAAAACAGCACATTCCACCCCCAGCGCCAGGTTCTACCTGAGTCATCAGCCTGTCTGCTCCTGTGTTTTCCTCATCCTTAAATATGATGTCGGGGTTGTAATTGGGGGTGAGTTCCTTAAATCGCTCGGAGTTTCTCGAGATCTTCCCTTCATATCTTCCGCTGGCCCCTAGGGTCTTCTCCGCCACGTTGGGGATAAACTGCTTGTAGGCTAAAGGGGTCAGCTTTTTGGGGTGCCGCCTCTTCCCAAATCCCCTTCCTGGTCCGCACGCCAGCCCCGAGCACATCAGCAGCGAGGAGACCAGAACCACCAGCAGACACCGCGCCAGCAGCAGCATCTCGTCCATGGAACCCGATGACTTCAAAGCTGTCCCCGCGCGGGGCTGTGTGCGCGAGTGCGCGCGTGTGCGCTCTTGCTCTCTCCCTTCTTTGCTGCCCTCCGGCTCGCTCGCTCGCTGGCTCGCTGCTTCGCTCTTTCTCTTCCTATATAACCTTGCCCGCCGCTGCCGCGGGGGACTCTCCACCGATCCCCACCCAGACAGGGGCTCGAATGGCAGGCTGCCGGTCGCTGATAACGGAACACATCGGAGTTGGGTCGCGAGACAGCAATCAAAAGACAAAAAGAGTCTGATTTTAAATGGTAGCAAGGCTAGAGAGCTTGTGAGAGAGGCTGCCTTTAGCACTATATTATAGCTGGCAGGCGCGCATCTGATTGGCCGAAGCGGCACAAGCTTGTCTTCTGATGTTAACCCTGAAGAAGACTACATTTTTTTTTGTTGTTGTTGCTGTTGTTGCTTTCTCTTCACCTGAACGCTCCCAGTTCAAAAAGAAAATCCCGGCGAAGAGAGAGGTGGGCGGGAGGGAGGAGGTGCATGTCTTAGGAGAACATCAAGGGTTGCCTGCTCTGTGCACTTGTCTGCATTTTCCCCCTTTACTGCTCCACAATGGTAGGTGCTTCAATCAAAACCAACTTAAGTTTTTAAAAGACAGTCCAGCATCTGCCCCCCCCCCCCAAGCTTCGATCATAGAGCAAATCATCCTTCAAATGTTTCAGGGACAAAGCTGCCAGATTTTACTTAAAATTTTTTTTTCCCAGAGACTTTATCATGTGGGCTGGGTCTCCATGCATTTGGAGGAAAGAGCACATTGTACCCCTTCCTGAATCTTCAGCACCCCAGGACAGAGGGCACTTCTGAGTGACCACAGCTCAAGCCATTATCGTTGGAAATGCTTTAAGAGCCTTAGAAAAACTTGCAGATACTCCTTTATTGTGTCTGCATTTCGCTTTCTGTGGAAACCCTCTGCAGATGGGATGGAGCTGTACACAGGGGGCAGGTACAGAGCGGACGGAGGGGCCACTGGGTCTGGGCGCCTGGGAAAGAGAGCCAGAGCAGTGTGTGCGTGGCAGGTGGAGGCCATTGTGCCTGCGGGCAGCAGCAAGTGGGCAAGGCTGCACACACACCACCCCCACGATCGATCCGAGCAAAGTGCAGGGCAGGGATGAGCTGACTGTGGAATTCAGGCTCCTTGCCACGGGGTGCGGAGCTGGCCCCACGGGGAGCTCTCGGCAAATCAGTCTTCAGGGGCCGGAGCCGGACAGACCTTGGAGACTGCAGCCTGAGAGGGACCTTTGGGGGGGGACAGTGCTCTGGTAAAAAGGGGGAGCATCTTGGAAGAGGGCACAGCGACCAGAGATGAGCAATAATTGAGTCCCGAACCTCCAAAGTCCGAAGCTCCCCCTTCTTAGGAAAGCCGCTCTTCCCCTTTGAGCCCCTCCCCCACCCCACTCATATACAATAATTCCTCTAGAAGAGGGCAAGGGAGGGAGGGTTACTCATGTGGAATGGAAATACTGACCCTGAAGAATAATCAGATTCTGCGAGTGTGGCCCTGTGAAGTTGCAGGCTCTCCCCTGACCTCAGCCACTCTGTGTGCAGCATGGCGGTGGTGGTGGCTGTGTGTGTGTGTGTGTGTGTGTACAGGCATGGGGGGGATAGGCGTGGAGGTGGGGGGAAGCCCAGTCTGAGGCTCAGCCCTCGAACAATGGGACGTTTCCAGCAGGTCTCTCTGCAGATCAACTTTCTTTCTTATGTCTTCCTCCCTGCCCTCTTCTTCCTCCCCTCCAGGCACCAGAGAGGGGGTGCACACCCCCAGAGACACGCGTGATAAGAAGCATGTAGGGCAGGGGCTAAGAGACAGCCCGATGAAGCCTGGGCAGCCTTGAGTCCCTTCCCCCATGCCACCTGTTCTGCTCTGATTTGTGGAGAATCAGAACCCTGGGAAGAACCCAGATCCCCGGGGCGAGGTGGGAACGCAGCACAGGCTTCCCAAGGCGGGCTGGGCACGCAGCCAGAGTGTCCTCAGAACCGAGACAGCAGAGCTCAGCTGATGCCCCGGGGCGAGCGAGTGAGTCCCCAGGCCCCAGCGCCTGTGGCTGTGCCCTGTGCTCCCAGGAAGAACAGCTAGGAGGCCAGCCTGCTTCTGGGGCTGCCCGTGGGGCGTGTGGATGTTGGCTCGTTGGCGCTGCAAAGCTGGACAGGGAGCCCTGGCCCTGTAGGACCCTCGCTCTGCCACCGCCGCCCTGGCACCTGGTCGGGCCCCAGTCCCTTCCCAATCCTTCCTTCCCTTACCAACCCAGGCGCATGCAGAAGGGCCTCGGCGCCGGGTCGCGACCTTGTGCCTTCCCTCCTGTGCGCAGACCCGCTGGCGAGGCGCGCGCCCAGCGCAGCGACTCCCGCACGCACGTGCAGACTGCGCGCTCTGCGTCGTGCAAGGTGGGCGGGCTGGGGTTTGGGGGGTAAAAAAAAAAAAGAAAGAAAGAAAGAAAAAGAAGCCTGAACTGCACAGGGCTCCTCGTGCACGCGACTGGACTTGGGATGTCCGCAGGCACGGTCAGCATCATGGCACTGCGCGGGGACTCCAGGAGTCTGTCAGGCCGCCCCTCCCCGAGGCGCGGCGCCACTCTCCTCTCCATCTCCTGGCCAGCCCTGGACACCCGGAGAGCCTGCCAGAGCCTGGTCTCCCCTGGGTCCCGCGGGGTCCTCCCAGTAAAACAATGATGCACAACTAAACATGCCACTGATGCCTGATCCTTGGCGTGGATTGGAGAAAAAAAGATTTTTTTTTAAGAAAAGGAAGTCATAATTTATATTGGTTGTCTTAGAAACCAGGGCGCAGGGCTGAGGCACCAGGGGTCGCCAAGGCCTCTGTTCCCCGCCTCCCCTCCCGTTCCCCCCACTTCCCACGTCCGGACTCGCGACTCCGCCGGGTTCCTCCTCCAGACACCAGATGGCTCCCTCTCTTTGCCTTTGCCCCTCCAGACTACTTGGGCCCCTCCCCGTGCCGGTCAGAGGGTCCAGTCCCCAGCCTCTGCCTGACAAGGCCGGGCAGCCCCATACCCTCAGGATCCATTTCTAACTTGTCTGGGCCCTACCCTCTTTTCTTCCTGGCGTTGCCTCCCTCCCTCCCCTCCTCCTCCCATCCCCCCACTGGGCAGCCCAGCCCAGGACAGGTGGCTGCTTCAGTCTTTTGCCTGCAGCCCCCCAGGGAGGCGCCTTCCTGGGCACTACCCCTTCCCCTGCCTTCCGACCCCGGCCGCTAGATGGCCTCCTCACTCTGCCTTCACAGTCCCGGGTTGAAGGGGCCAGGCAGCATGCTGGCCTCCTCAGGGGCTTCTCCGCGGTCCCGTCCCCACTCCCGCTTCTCCACGGCTGTGCGTCTGTGCCCGCGGGTCCTGCGCCCAGAGCTCTGGCTGCCGCACCCTCCGGGCTCTGTCTCAGCTTCCAGGCCCTGGGGTCTGGCTTCCCAGGTCACCTCTCCTCTCTTTGGTTTCTCTTCTTGGTAAGACTTCTACACAAGTTCTTTTCGAATTTGTTCCAATTCTGGAAAATTGAATGTCTGTCTTTCTCTCCGGGATTGCCAGCCAGGGCTCCCCTCTGAATTTGGGGGGGGATGCTGCCCCTTAGCACTGTTGTCTCAACCCCATGGCCCTCTCCTGCTCCCCAAGCCTGGAGGATGGGAGACGCCCCAGGGAGTCCAGGGGCTCCCTGCAGGCTGCCTCTGACTGTAGCTTAAGTGCCGGTGGAAGAAGCAACCCTTCTCTTCCCAGCGCCAGCACCGGTGGAGGGTGTGGCACGGCTTCCGGCTCCTTGGACTCCCTGCATCCTTATCCCATCGCACTTCAGCTGGGAGGCCGCCACCAGCACTCCCAGGACCGGTAGGGACTGTAGCCGGCACGAGGAGCCGACTCTGTGGATCAACTTCTGCTGGGTTGGGTGCTTTGCTGTGCAGCTTGTCCCAGCTCAGTGGTGTGGGGCACACTGGGCAACTCCCCATTCCCTGAGCCCCGTGACTGGGGGTAGAACCTGGATTCTTCCGTGCTTCTGTTACTCTTTGAAACAGGGGTGCTGGTGATATCGCGCTGACTGGGACCCCAGCCTTCACGTTTGCCAACGTTGCTCACCAAGCCCCCTTGCCAAAGGCTGCAGATCCCTGGGGTGGTGCTTGCTCCGGGTCCTTGCTGTAGCAGGGTGGACCTTCCAGTGCTTTTCCTGAGTCAGCAGTCATGACCATCCCTCCCTAGGACTCTCACGCCTGGAGAGCAGAGCACCAGGGCTTCCTAGCCGAGGCCTTGGCCTGCAGCTCTGGGGAAGCTGGGATTGATTGCGGAGCAGCCAGGAAAAGGTAACACCTTGCTGTGGCAGGTGGACATCCTACGGCAGGAATAAGCACACTGCGAACATTCAGCCTGCGATATGCTTTATGCCTTCTCTCTCGGACCACTGCCTACCCTGTGGAGCCACTTAACCTTCATTATAGGCAACGGATGTTTCTTCTTAGGACTAAATCATGCCTCAGGTATGTGGCTCCTTCCCGTGATTTCATAGCCATGGTCAGGGACACTCGGAGCTATATTTGTGAGTTGGACTGGAAATCCGAGTGTGGACAGGTGGCCTTGTGCCTGGGCAGTAAGGGACAGAACCAGATTCCAAACCTAACTCTTCTGATCCTAAGCCTACATGCTGTTCCTTGCACACCTTGGAACTGCACTAGGAGACTCTCACTGCTCCGATCTTTGAACCCTAGTTAAAATGCAGATGCCCCTGGGAAAGTTAGGACGTGAAACCCTGTGCACGTTGGAATCACCCGCGGAGCTTTTGAAGCAAGAAGCCAACAAACAATGCCTGGGCCTCACCCCCAAACAATCAAGTCAGAATTTCTGCTTTGCTAATTTCCTGGTGGGAATCCCTCAAATCCTGGGGATCGGGGTGGAGCAGGGGCAGTTTGGGTGCCACTGCTTGGCCCCAGATCTCCAGCTGGCTCCCCGCTCTGGATGTACACCTGCCCCAGTGGGGTGCCCTTGCACCCTGGGACCCCTGGAATGGAGCTGTACCCCGGGTCCCACACAGAGCAGGTGCAAGGTTTGCGGCGTGTCTGTTTCAGGTTCCTTATGAAGAGGAGGTGTTGGCAGATGGGTAGGGTGTGTGGGTGTAAGTGGAGGTATATTGTGTGTGAGGATGTGCCAGTGTGTCGTAGGAGACACCCAGCAGGTGCAGGGTCAGGGTGTCTGAGGGATGTGAAGGCACATGCAGGGACCCGGGTGCAACAGGGAGTGACGGCTCCTCTGGCAGCAACAGAGCGTGACGTCATCTGGGCAACTTCTGTTCCAAGGTTTGCTTTACAAGAGAGAAAGGGCTGCAATGCGGACCCGCGGAACACAAAGGCCATTTCTTCACAAGAACAGACTCCTCTGGGAGATGCATCAGGCCAGGTGCGCCTTGGATGCCCGAAGTCGTGCTGAG